AATATTTAAAATTCTTAAAAAACTTATCGAAACTTGGTCAAAAATTATGAAAGAAAATCCAATAGCAAAAAAGTAAAAACATTTAAATCAAATCACGAATGTAGAAAAACTACCAATTTATGAAATGATTTTTTTAAGAAAAACCGGCCAGCAAAAGCATACATACAATAAACCATTGACAGCAGAATTCGGTGCTATTATAGTTTCAGACTCTGGACTACCAGAAAGTCTCGATCTTTGTGTATACCCGAAAGAATTACCCGATAATTATCCTAAAGGAACCTTTTTAAATAAATTGTGTCGATTTTTCGATCCCATGGTATTTCCATTATTTTTTCCCTTAGGAGATTTAGGAAAGAGTACCGGTTATTTTAAAAATTACTTAAATAAGTGCAAAAATCTAACTATGTTACAACATTATTCCTACAGACTGTCTTACAGACCAAATGGAAAAAAATTTAATCCATTATTATACGGGGGCGTCCATCCAACATTTCTAAAAATTTCGAGACAAAGGAAAAAATTGGAAATTTTTTTATACTTCCATCAATATACATTGGAAGTCCAAAATATATGCAGAAACATTATCAAGATGCAATGTCTATAATGAGAAAATGTGGTAGACCAGATTTATTTATAACAGTAACATGCAATCCTGAATGGAAAGAATTAAAGTTAATTTTATCAAAATTTCCTAAAAATACAATATCAAATGATATTCCAGACCTAACTGTTAGACTATTCCACTTGAAATTAATGTCAGTTTTGGATGACATCATTAAAAATAATATATTCGGTAAAGTATAAGCATACGTCTATACCATAGAATTTCAAAAACGTGGTCTACCTCATGCACATATTTTGCACCCTGATAAAAAAATTGTTACACCTGAACAAATTCATGCAATTATTTCAGCTTGAATTCCTTGTGGTAATACGAAGCTCACAAAATTGGTGATTAAACACATGCTTCATGGACCTTATACAGAAAAAAGTCCTTGTATGATTCATAAAAAATGCACAAAAAATTTCCCCAAATGTTTTACAAAGGTAACTTGATTTCGAACGAATGGTTACCCTGAATACAGAAGAGAAAATAATACTTCTGAACAACATGTTTATAAAATTTGGAGAAAAGATGAAATTTTAGTAGATAATTCGATGGTTGTACCGTATCATAAATTTTTGTTAAAGAAATATAAATTTTATATTAACGTCGAATTCTGTGCATCTATTCAAAGCATAAAATATATTTATGACTATATACATAAAGGTAGTGACAGAGCATACATCAAAATTAAAAAATTAAAAGACTAAGATAAAGAAATATTCGATGAAATGAATAGTTACGTTGATGCTAGATAAGTAGGTCCAATGGAAGCAGCTTAGAGATTACAAGAATTCTCAATTTGCGGTAGAAGTCATACAGTTCTAAATTTAGCTGTTCATCTTGAAAACAAACAAAAACTGGTGTTTAAAGAAAATAATATTGAAACTGTTATAGATAACTACGAGACACAGTTAACATCTTGGTTCAAATTAAATAAACATGATGACTTTGCAAAATCCATTAAGTATGTAAACATTTCAAAATACTTAACCGCCGCCTTGTCTGCTACTTGCCTAAGGTGACTTCAGAACGTGAGCTTTCTATCCAGCATCACTCCTCGGTATTTTACGGCATCCTTCGTCATTCCTTCTTCTTCTTGTACCTTGAGGGAGATGATGGTATCTATCTCTTTTCTCGTCAATAGTACC